GGCTTGTGGCAGGACGGGCATATACGATTTTTTTGCGGATGAAGAGAGTACGAAGAATTGACCTCTGGCCGAGACTGGTATTGTCGACATCCACTTGCGACTAGTTTATTAGGGATATTACGTGTTGGTAATGTTCTTATAATTGACGTCGAGGGTAAAAGTCGTAAGCGGTGCATGGGTAGGGTCCAACTTGTACTTGTCTTATAAATCAGTTCGACACCTTAGCCAACGACACGACCAGATTGGGAATCCAAAAAACTGTATTTGTTTTTCGAGTAAACCCGAAAGACTATTCTAAAGGACATTCGATTTTCCAGCAGCTCGCTGAGTGAGGACGAAGAACGACAAGACAGATTATGACAAGTCCAGCTATGTACAATTGGAGCAGAGGAAATGGGATAGAGAATGACGATGCTGATAATAAGGGGGTGACTGAGACTGGAGTTCCAAGATGAGATGACAGAAAGAGCGTTGAACAGTGAAAGGCAAAAGAACGACGGAGCCGCGAACGCGACTGCTAATGATTTCGACCCAGATGAAATCTAGATGCAGTAGAGTGACGTAAAATAGTTACTTGAAGATATAAATTTGGTTTGGCTATTGGGGATTTTCTGGAGCCGTTTTTAAGGAATTAGGCTGACTCCATTGAGGTTGGTGCTGGGTGCGGTAAAACTGCCCTTTCGTGGCATGAACGCAGAAGTAGAGTTGGGTCCAGCACGGTTGGACATGCTGACAGGCGGGTGGGAGGATCGGGTCTTGGGAGAGTCGGATGCGGGTTCGGGATTACCGACAGTGTGGTCACTTCCACTGTGGCTTGGGGATCGTCCTTTGTCGGCAGCAGAGGCTTCGAGGTAAGTACCTATCGAGCTCGCCCTAGATCGTGAGTCGTAGTCGGTTCCGGTAAGGCCCAGACCGCCCACGGCACCAGTGCTCAAAGTGGTGCTGGTAAAGCTGGGAGCGCGTCCCAAGGAGAGTCGGTTGGGTTCGGATACAGGAATATACTGTTGTCTCGAGCGCCTGCCACTGTTTCCGTAGATGCTTCCACCCCTCTCGAGTTCACTGGCACTTCCACCGTTCATCCTAGGACTGGTAGAGTACGCGCTTTGGAAATCGTCGTCATCATTGTCGGTGGTAATACCGCCACGAGACTCGGGACGGAACTTGCTGGTGACATAGTTGTGTGTCGCAGCAGAAGACATGGATTCGCTGTTCATGGTGGTAGTAGTGTTGGCGGAAACGGGAGGGGTGGTAGAAGAGGGCCGGAGAGCGGAAAGGCTAACACCGCTGGCAACCTTTTTGAGGCGAGGCAGGTCTACGTTACGAGGGGAGGAATGATGCTCATTCTGGGAGCCGTTCTTGACTTCTTCGGCCACAATATGAGGATGTTGATCTACCGAGTTGGTAGCGGTGATAGCAGACTCGCGCCAGTCTTCACTTCGAGCATTCTCAACCGAGTCGATCCAAGCTTCGGTGCTGGCATGAACACTTCCACTGTCAGCTCGGCGGAAACGGCTTGCAGTTG